GGTGTAATTTTAAAACTCATTCAATATTTGGATAAATTATCTTTAGAAAGATTATTATTGAATGAAATTCAAAATGAAAGTACTCTTACCACAATAACAAAACAGGCACACTTTTTTGACCTGACTTTTTTCGCACGTTTGTCATTCTAGTTCGTTGCTCKTTTTCCGGTAATGTTGTAGCTATGTTATCTACACTAACAACATATTCTCTTGACACTAAATAAAACAAAATAGAAAATGTCCTAACCTCTATCTTCACACCGTGGCGAATTCTTTTTTTCCATGATTTCTCCAAAAAATGATAGTTATAAAGCTTGTTTAAAAAAGTCGTCATTTTCCAAGTGACGTGTGATTTGAAAGCTCGACCAATCAGAAGCGCGATGTACACCTGGCGGGCGACACTTTTAGCGTTACGCACAGGGTTCCCATGCGATGACCACGAAAACTGAGTTGCATGGTTTACCATATTCTATGCCTATGGTGCTCCGCTATTATTATGGTTAGAATAACCATTTTCCGTAACTAATAAAATAAGGTTATGTTAACCATTAAAAAACTGGTTCCATTTGGGGCGCAGACGGTTAGAGGAAAAAATTAGGAGGTTTTGGTATATATATATTGTTTAAGACAAAGGCAATTTGTTGTCACCGTGTAAATCAGTTTTACATTGGCTTAAAAGACAATAAACTAATTTAAACAACACAAAGATAACAAAGATTACAAATGATTGTTATTGATCGAGAATCTTAGTGGCCACCCARTGTTTTGATTGAGGTTTTTCGTTTTTCAAATTTTCAAATGCAATTTTGCTATTGCTTTTTGAGGTGGCTTTGGAGGAGTTCTCAACAGTAAAAAAAAATTCATTTTCATTTTTGTTGTGTAAGCTAATATTTTCTGACGAATAGAGTCTTTCAACAATCTTAGACCTATTTTCTGAGCAATTAGTATAGGAAATCGCACGATCTCGAGTACAATTTGTATAGGAAATCGCACGATCTCGAGTACAATTTGTATAGGAAATCGCGCGATCTCGAGTACAATTTGGAAATTAATAGACACGAGTAATGTTTTGTAA